TGGAAAGTCCTTCCCATTAATGGTGTTTCTTCTCATCTTAAACTTTGTAGCATTATTACAGTTATTTTGTTTATTGACCTGTTGATTCTCCCACCACCAGAATGTACATTCTTAAAAGTCTTTGTCTGATTGTTTACAGTATCCCCAGGACTTAGAAGATTGCCAGGCTCATTAGTGGGTGCTCAAAAATGTGCTAATGAAAGAATTAAAACAAAGAATTTGTATTTGAGAATGGGTCAATATCAGATTCTGTCACAAGGAGTAAGTATCCTGGATGATGATTGCTTACCAGGGGGCCTGAGAGGCATACCCCCATGTCCCTCAAGGGGCCCCCCACAGGGGACAAGGGAAAAGGAAACTTCATCTATTTCACATAGAGCCCTGCACTAGTCATGCATTCTTCACATTCTTTGTTGATGGACAGTCCCAACTGGGACAGCTGAAGAGCACATTAACAATTCAACATCAAGAGCCTGACCTCTGAGAATACTTTCCTATGCTTATGCTATATTACTCTTCTTTTGAAACAAGTCCTACTCTCAAATTCAGCTGGATTTGTTTCATTCAAACTTCTGATGACCATGCACTGTTTTCATTCTGGGTCCATTCTCAGGCTTGAATCTAACCTTGCTTCTGGCATAAACATTACCTGAGCCTCTGTATGTGGCTTGGACAATTTGAAATGATAGGATGATGAAACGTGAGAAGATAAGAAAAAGGAGAATACTTATTATTTTTGTACTTGTGATTATCTGGACACTGATTTCTTTGGTCCCATTATTGTTTCAATTTATTAAAATGAGTTAAAATATATCTCCTTGGAATTTTATCTAATACTGGTAAGATAAAAACATACATCACCTATATATTATAATACACTTTGTTATTTATTATTTAAACTCTTAATTGGTACTATTGGCTATTAGAATTGAGGGTATCCAATTTCCCAAATATCTTAGATTTCATGGAATTTTAAAGATGGTGGTGTATGTATTGCATTCTGTCATGTTTTAATGTTCTTTTCACTGTGTATACAGATGACTATGAGGAAAGAGATTTTGCCTCCAAGAGAAACTATAAATTGTCTCACAGAAGAGTAACTTTACAGTTATTTACCTCTCTAAAGAAGTTCTTTTCCACTTTCTTGAAGTTTATTTTTTATAGAGCAAATGTAATGTAAAAGAATGACTATTTTAGGGATGCATATTTTGCCTTTTAAAACTTATAGCACAGATCTAGAAAAGATTGTGTGTGTGTGTGTGTGTGTGTGTGTGTGTGTGTGTGTGTGTGTAAAATGACTACAATTGAAATAATCAACAAATACAATAGAGAAACTTTTGGGATTTCTTTCTTAACATTTTATTTATTCTTCTCTTCTGATGTTTCATGTTCTACTATTTTCTACTGTCCTGAACGCCTAAAAGAATCATGACAAGATCTTTTCTAGTAGCAAGCAGACAAAACAAGAGCTTTTCTCCTGGCACTTCAAGGAGATTGTTATCTATTTTCTTTTTTAGCACATATTTTTTCATATTAACTTTATTAATTTAATATGCATTCATTAACCTATTTTATTATGTACATGTGTAGAAATACTTTAGAATTGCAAGGTCTCTCTAGAAAAATCAGGCTTTCGTTGCTGATGGAATGTAATAATTTTCATTTGCTAAAGAATATTTAATTATCCTTGTTATTAGCTATCTATCCAGAGGTATCATTTTTAGAATTTACAATTTACCAGAATTATTTACCTTAACCATCATGTGATCTGATGGTTCAAGACAGCTGTCTTACATCTATGTACAGAGGGAAAGAAAGCCAAACAAATTCTCACCATTTTAAAAGTAGAAGTAGATCTTAGATCCTTTATGTTTTTACTCAACTTAAACACTGATTCTATAAAACAAAAAAAGAAAGTAGCATTTTCTCTTAGTATTATTTTTAAATAGTACTACTAATAGTTAAAATAGTGTAATTTGGCTCAGCAGGCGTGGCTCAGTAGTTGAGTATCGACCTATGAAACAGGAGGTCCCAGTTTGATACCCAGTTGGGGCACATGCCCAGCTTGTGGGCTCAATACCCCATGTGGAGCATGTAGGAGGTAGCCAGTCGATGATTCTCTCTCATCATTGATGTTTCTATCTCTCTCTCCCTTCCTCTCTGAAATCAATAAAAATATTTTTTTAAAAAGAAAAAAATAGTGTAATTAGAATAATAATTCTCTGACAATATGAGTAAATAAAAGAATTATTAAATTGGGCATCAATCTGAAACTAGATAAGAATTTCAACAGAACATGCAAGAAAACCGAAATAAGAAATACTAGAAATCAGATCCATATGCTGCTAGATAATTGAGTTGACTCCCCCAATTTGCAAAAGGAGAAACAGAAACATCAAAAGTAAGCAAACTATGACTTTGACAACTGGAGAGTTGGATGTATACATTAGCTGAACATTTTAAAAGCTGAAGTTCCTATCACCTTTATGTGGAAATTCAGAAGATGGTGTAAATACACATTGTGTCATCAGAAGGTTTCTTTGCAGTCAATAGAGAAATGCTAAGTCAATTTTACCAAAAAGTGATTTCTTGTTCCCTTTCTATCCCCATCTTTGGTTTATTTTGGTTGATATGAGAAAAAAAAAGAAAGATTAAAATGAGATAAGAGAAAAATTTGGGAGCATTGAACAAGATAAAGAATTTGGGGAGGAAAAATTAAGCACATCTTTTTACAAATGGAACACCCAGGGCTTAATTAGAAATATAAACATTTTGAGCATTTATCAATGGCATAGTGTGTGTGTGAGAGTGAGTGTGTGTGTGTGTATGTGTGTAGGGAGGGGGGTGCAGATTGATATAAATGAAAGCAATAGAATTAGACAAGCTCAAATATTTTTGACCACTATTGTTTGAAGAAAAATTTTCCCCCAATAAAAGTATACTTAAGAATACTCTTTAATAGACAATTTTTAAGTAAGCATGGCTGTGAAGCTAAGCATTTCTGAAATTCTTGTTTTGAAAGTGAAGAAGCAAGAGAGAGATTTGTAGCTTAAAAATTAATAATTCATTATGAAATATCAACCATTTTTGCCTTGGTTTCAAAAAAGATTCCACAGAAAACAGAGAAGGTTTTCCCGAGGGAGAACTAAGGCTCCAGGTTCCACAGTGAGAAAGTGAGTAGTGAATCAAAAACCCTGGAAAGTATCATAATGCTAAGGAAAAATTAAACCTATTGATTTGATGAACTCATTTATGTGATAATTGACAAATTATCCTCCAGGTCCCACTGCCCAATTTTTATGGGGAGGAGGGAGAAAGGAGAGTCTGGTAGCTTGGCCTACTGTTTATGTGCTGCCCAAAGCCAGCGTAGCAAGGGAGTGGTGAAGGACTAGGGCTGCGTTAGAAAACTTCCTCTGGGCTGGCTCTCTAGCTTGCTTTGAACTCTTGTTCATCGTTGTTTTATGTGGCAGCTTGTCTTTGTGTTGGTGGGAGGGAGAAGAAAAACAAGACTGCCTTTAGGTTCTAAATCAACTTGCTGCACTGCAGATTGCTGGGGAGGCTTTTCAAAGGCAAAGCAAGTGGGGACTTTACAATTCTGTCTCTGTGGACTAGGAACTGAGGGGGGTTTTTTGGAGGGGGGTAAATTCTCAGTAGCAAAAAGAGCTTTTTTTTTAACATATCTTACATTCTTCCTAAAATATCCTCAGTATTATTTTTTCCAATTTGACTGGCAGTTGGAGAAAAGTAGGAATCTACAAAGGGTGCGAGGAGGCCTCCCTTGTCATAGAATTTCATAACCGGAAGAAACCTGGCCATTACCCCTAACACACTCTTTCTTGATTGTGACCTCAGGGTCCAAAGACATTAAATCAGTTGCTTAAGACTCCAACTCAGAAAGTCTGTAGACCCTCCTTGCTGGAGCCCCACTGCACCTTCTTTACATTGCCCTATGCTGCCTCTAGCGCTAGGCTGAGAAACTGCAAGAAAGAGCGGGGGGGGGGGAGGGAGGGCGAGAGAAAGCGAAGAAAAGCTGGAGAGGGACAGAGATACTGCTAAGAGGGCAAAAAGTAAAATACCTAAGTCAGGATGCTTGAACATCTGCTTGGACGAAGAAAAGCCGCCTGCTCGTCCCAGGCAGTGTGCGCATGGAACAACAGCTACCACTGAACATCTGTGATGCTTATTTTCAGCTTTGGAAGATCAGCCTAGGGAAGAAAGCTCATCTCTTTCCTCTGGCTCTCCACGCCTTCTACTTTTATCCAAGTCACTCTTTCCTCGGACATTTCGTGGGCTTGTTCCTTATAACACACTTCCTCACCTGTGTCTTAGGTGTTTTTCAGTCCTCTCTCCCCTCATATTTCCCAAGTTGTTATCCTGGGCTTTCTTCTTCTTCTTTTTTTTTTTTTTTTAATATATTTGTATTGATTTCAGAGAGGAAGGGAGGGAGAGAGAGATAGAAATATCAATGATGAGAGATAATCATTGATTGGTTGCCTCCTGCATGCCCCCTACTGGGGATCAAGCCCACAACCCAGGCATGAGCCCTTGACTGGAATGAACTCCGGACCCTTCCGTCCGCAGGCTGATACTCTATCCATTGAGCCAAACCAGTTAGGGATATCCTGGGCTTTCTTAAACTGTAAACTCAAGCTGGCACCTTAGGTGGATTCCTTATTTCGGGGAAAGTCCAGAGGACCATGCCTGCCACCCGCCTACCCTCGTTTAGACCCAGAAGGAAGACCCGCAAAGAGCATTTATGGAGAAGAAAGGGTGTATGTTGTGGCCGCTGGTGGGCAGCTAGAGAAAGTGGTAGAAACGGGCAGGGGTCGCATCTGTGCCGGTGCGGAGGCGCGGACTAGGGACAGCCTGCGTGCGCCTGGTGCCTTCCTGCCCCGGCGAAGGCTGGCACAATCACCGACCCGGAATCGGTGGTGCCGCGGCCGCGCGGACAAAGGCAACGGGAAGGCCTGGCGGGCGGCGCAGAGGGTGGCGCTGGCAGCGTGAAAGGTGTCTTTGTGCAGGACTTGGTGGGGTGAAGGGGTGGTGAGAGAGGCCTGAGCCAGGACCTGAAGGCTGAGGCTCTGGGACGCCGTTACTTGCCACTCCTTAGTCGCGCTGGAAAGATCCGGGTAGTGCCGGCAGGGGGCGGTGTGGTGCAGAAGGGGGTGGGCGGGAGGCCCCAGGGTTTGGTCTTTTTTTTGACACTGAAGGGCGAGAAAGCAGGATGGAATAGAGGGATTTGCCTCCCCGCCCCCTCCCCTAGGTGTCAGAGAGTTCGCGCTGATTGCAAGGGTGCAGCCTCTCACCCGGCGCTCACTCGGTGTCGGGGAGCGGGGAGAGCGGTCCCCAAGGCGGAGCCTCCCTCCGGGCCCCCGAGTACCAGTGCCCCCACCGAGAGCGGGGAGGCGGGCACCGCGCTGCCCTCCCTCTGCGCCCCGGCCGCGTGGCTTGCGGCTTATTTTCCCAGCTGGCAAGCGTCGCGCTGCAGACAAGGGAATGCCTGTGGTGAGTTGTTTATTTTGTTGAAGTTTGCGGTGGGCCCGGGGACGTGGGGGGCGAGCGGCAGGCAGCGGCCGGGACTGTTGTGTTTAGGTCTCCGTCCACCTGTGTGGTATAAATCTGCCAGCCTCGGGACGGCAGGGGGCCAGGGCGAGAAAACCCCAGCTGCTCCGAAAGCCCCCCTTTGCCACATGCAGATCTAGAACCACATTTCATTCTCCACTCCTGGGATCCGCTAGATCCTAGCTTACACTCCCCCTCTCCCCAAGTCCCGGATCAGGGCTTCCCGCACCCTCTGCGCACAGGACTGGCGCTCCTCGGGGCAGGCGGCAGCCGCGACCCGGCAGCCATGGAAGTTCCTCCCCTAGAGGACAAGGGAGCTGAGGTTGTGATCTGAGGAGCACTCGTGGAATTAGCGGGAACTTGTTGGGGCGGCTTCTGGCGTGAAGTCCGTTCAGGGTCTGCCCAGGTCTACAAAACAGGGATCCGGGTTGGCCAGAGTTTCCCAGACTTGAGGCTGCGGGGAGGTCTGCGGTTGGCTCCCGGGGGAACCCAGAGGCACCCCGGGGGCTGATGGCAGTCACGGCCGTGGCTGCGTTTGCCTGGAAGAAAAGCCTAAACACATTAGCGAGCTGGTAAAGCTTTTAAGGCCTTTTCGGGAGCGAGTGGCTGGCTAATGAGAGGTTAATTTTGTTTCGAAGGGAAGGCTGCGCTGGTTTCCTGAGATAAATGGACAGGAAGCGCATTACCTCCGCGCGCTGGCAAGCGGCTCCCAAATGCTTTTTGCACCTGCCGCTTTGAGCAGCGCGAACAGTGGCGGAGCCCGCGGGGATCGCCGGGGCCCGTGGGGTACGCCCGGGTGATGAGCTTCACGCACGCCCCGGGCCCTCTCCTTCCGGGGGCGCAGCGCTCATGCCGGGCTCTGGGGCCCTTCTCTCACACCCAGGTCCTGCGTGTTCCCGAGCTCGGCGGCTCCCTGATCCCGCCAAGCCCCCTCCAGGAGCGGAAGGGTTAAAAATGATGTAAGTACAACCCAGGAGCTGCTTGCCACTGGGCAGTCTGACTCCCGGGCTATTTCAGCCCTGCTTTTCGTACACTGTGGACTGGGGATGCGGGGTGGAGGGGGTGGCTCACTCTAGAATGGGTTGCACAAATCGCAACCCCGGGTCTGGGTCCTGGTTCCTCTGCCCCAGTTGATCTGTTAAGCAGACAGCGACCCTCGTGTTAGATTTCTGGAAATGGAGATATATTAACTGGGGAACAGAAAAAGAAACCGCATCTTGTTTAGAACCCATTAATGTTGCTGGCATGCGTTTTAATTCTAGCCACTTTCCACTTGCACATTCATGCCGTTGTTCTGCTGAGTCCCCTATTTGTACTGTTTTGGCTTCATCTTTCCTTCTTGAAAACAAAGAAGGGAGAGAGAGTACAAGTGGCAAGAATCGGGGAGGATTTATGAGTTGTACAAGCTGTCACTTCACGGTATTTTTTCTTATTAAAATGTAAAACTTTCATAAGTCATCAATTTTATGTCTGTGTCCCAGCTCCCTCCCTAGATTTTTCTTTGTGGAGTCTTAATGTCCTGCTTAGCTTGCAGCATTGGAGCTGGAGGAGTGGATGCTCTATAGGCGACCATTCACCACGCTCTTGCTTTCCAAGAGGATTCGGGATCTTGCTAGCAGGCCGAATTTACCCAGCGAGTGTGTCAACTGACCTAAAGTTTTGAAAATAGGAACCAACTTGCGGTTTAATTGTGAAAATTAACATTTTCCTTTAGCCGGCTGAACACTTATGCAGCAATAAAAAAAGTGAATTGTTAGGCTTATAAATCTTGAGCTTGTCAAATTTTACAACAGAGGAGCAATAAAGCACCTTAGAAGAAATGAAGTTTTTCCTCTAGAGCAGTTCCACTTCACACCAGGATTTGCAGTGACTGGAGGGCGCCCTCTATTGATAAGAAAATCAAGAGCACTCATGTACTTAAGGAACAGGATGGGGTCGAGGTGGGGGGAGGGAATAAGGGTAAGGGGGGAAGTCATAGAAATCACGGGTGAAAAGACACAAACTAAACTGAATTTGATCCTTATCTCTTGGTTGCGTGTTTTGAAGCATGTTCGATTAAGTGGGATGCTTCTTTATAGCGGTGGGATTAAATCTTGTGTTAAAGAAAAAGAAACATTTTACTCTTTTTTTTAGCAAAATGCTTTGAAAAACAGTGTTCACATTTTATTAGTTTTAAAAGTCGTTTACCAATATTTCATTAATTTTATTTCATTAATCATATGTAGTAATTCCAAGAGAGTAAATTTTTGGCCTAATAGTATTTACTCCATAGTATTATCTAAAAATTATAATAGCTACTCCCCCCCCCCCCCCAAAGTCATTTCTCCAATCAACGCTGAAACTATTATTTAGCATATTGTGGACGTATGGAAGGCTTGGATTATATCATGGGCAATGAAAGGTGTGTTTACCACTTGTGTCATCATAGTATTAATAGGTAATGAAAAGTTACAGTAAAAAGATAGGCATCCTTCATTAGGGATCTAGTGGCTTGTACAATTCGTAATGTGTCTAATAAGTAAGCTGGGGTGATGGGTTTGCCCTCAATTATCCTGGTCCATTGATTTGCACATTGTTACGTGTGGAATATTTACATGTCCGCGGCTGATACGCAATCCCTAATTAGAGATTCTGAGTAAGGTAGCGGGTAGAGTTGCCTACTGCGATTTGGATATACTGTAAGTGAATTTAAAATGGCAACCTTGAGCTATTTGGGGAAAGGCAAAGGCGAGGACAGTAGGAAGTGGCTCCCAGACTTTGAGGCTATTCTAGAGATTAGATACCACTTCACACCTACTGATAAGTTAGAGCCTATTATAACCTGTTCTGATAATTAGCTTTTCTCCTCATTTCTTGATCCATCCAATTGCAAAAGTAGAAACTGAACTGTCATTGAATTAATCTGCTATTAGATTATGAATGTGTGGAAAAGCCACTAAGCAACAAATGATGGCGTAATTACTCTACACTGCGTTAAAAGCTGCCTCTCCTCATTAATCTAATTACACTGTAACCGAACACGGTCAAGTTCTCCAGCTCTCAGACCCCTCCCAGCCGCTTTCAGGAAGGGAAATGTCAAAGGAGCCAAGAATACCGGAGCCACGCACAGCTGCCTGCGAATTTCGCTGGGAGCTGACGGGTACCTTCCCAGTCTACCCGATCCGTTCCGCACCGCGGGTCACTTTCTGATTTCCAAAGTGGCTGGATGCTAGCTTTACCCAAAATAGGTTCGAAACGCGGTTCTGCAGAGGTGCTTAGATGCGAAGGAATTTGCCACGTGGCGCTGGATAAAAGCGCCCGCTTCCTCCAAAGAGCTGGAGGTGGAGGCGCCGTGTGGGGTGATAAAAAAAAAAAAAAAAAAAAAACTAGGAGGGAAGTTGAACCCAATAACATTAATTCAAGGAGCGGTCAAAGGCCGGTTCCTTTGTAACGGCGGCCAGAGAGAGCGGCTGACACCTCTTTCTATTTGATTCGAGGAAACAGGACATCGCGGCAGGGGTGGATGGGAGAGAAGAGAGAGCGAGCCAGAGGCTGGGCCGGGCGCGGTAGACAGGACCCGCAGCGGGCGGACGCGGAACTCACGTTACACTAAACCGCAGGAGGCAGGAGGCGGCGTGGAGGGGCCGGCGCTTTGGGCCCTGCTAGCGGCGGGCTGGGTCCAAGCGGCTTGAGCTCGCAGCCAATGGGATGGGAGCGCGGGGGTGGAGACGACGCCGATTGGCGGGCGGAGGGCGGGCGGGGCAGAAAAACGGGGCTGAGATTGATTGATCCGGGGCCGCCGCGTAGAGAGATC